CCGTCTGGATAACAGCAGACTGACTGCTSGTAAAATATACGACAGGTCTGGACCACTCGTTAATTTTGTTCGTATCTGAAAAAAATCTTAGAATACGAAAACATTGGTGAATGCCRCAAATTCTCCTAAATCACTCGTACGCACAATTTAAGAACAAAACTGTGCGTACGAACGGTTCTTGCATGAGGCCCAATCTGAGCAATTCAAATTTAGTTCCTGCTGGCACAAGATTTACCCCACAGAAGGGTCAGCTCTGATTATTTATCATTAAAATCACTGCTCTACGTTTAGTTAGTTATACCAGAGTTTTTTTTTCAAACTTTATTCATTTCTTTAAAAATAACAAAATAAATTTATATGCAATAAAAATACAAATCACAAATAAATTGAAAGGCGGCAGAAAAAAACAAAACAAAACAAATTACCAGAACTAATCCAATGAATAAATAAATAAAGCTGTTTAAATGCGCCGCCACATTTCCACAGCATTAATCCCTGAGCTGAAATGAAGGCTGTTATTCTTCCAGTTTTATTATTAACTCAAATCACGCTTCACTCTTCACACTGAGCTTCAGTGTGAACCTCTTTGTTGTCRCAGAAACATTTGAACAGAATTGGGAAAAGGTGTTAAAACATGCAGAAGTCAAAAGCTCTGTCAGTTCTGCAGACACTGAGCTACAGTTTGAGCTTCATTAGTCTTAAACTCTGGCATGAAAGGAGATGGGTGGTCTGCATTCAGGTCTTTATTTTATAATGAAAATGTCTTTTTTCCCCCTTGTTTTTCTTTTTATCTAATTTATGATTAAGAATATTTTTGATGCTTTTTCGAGTTTTACAGACTAAAAATCTTATTGCAGCTCCCAGCGTGCCTCCTCCTCCTCCTCCTCCCGCTGAAGGAGATGGAGTGAGGGAGGAAGAGGAGGAAGAGGGCGAAGTCTTCTTTCCCACGACAGGAAACAGAAGAATGACCCCGCCTCCTCCCGTCGCCGTCCGACACAAGAGAACCTGCTCCGAGTCTAATAAACATGGTAGTATCAGAAAGGCACTCTGTAATTAATCCGTCAGAGTAACTCTGTTATTAACTCTGTGTGTGTGTGTGTGTGTGTGTGTGTGTGTGTGTGTGTGTGTGTGTGTGTGTGTGTGTGTGTGTGTGTGTGTGTGTGTG